CACACACACACACACACACACACACACACACACACACACACACACACACACTGCAAATACCATGACCACTCAGAGAGCATTTTGAAACTGCCCTTGGAGAAGGCAGAGGGTTGGGAAAACACTGATTGAATGAGACACAAATCAATATCCAAATATTAATATAACAAATCAAAACAGAGTATTATGCTACTCGTGATATTTATGTCCAATGAAGATAAATTAATGTCAGTATTAGGTTTGGAGGGTGGCATGAAAAAGCAGCTACTCTAATGGCACTGCTATTGTCTTGACAGTAATTTTAAATGGATGCATGTCTGCGACAAACGCTTTTAGCCTTTTTTGTAGAAGTGTAAACTTTAAAAGAACAAACTATCGGTTCACTCTAAAAGCCTTTGTTTCTCTTGTTCCTCTTGACTTTTAGGGATATACTTAAGTCTAACAAATTTTTCCACTCTGATTAGCATCTGCCTGCTTCCCACTCTAACTCCATTCTACACCACAGACTACTATGACATTTCAAGCACATCTGACCAGTGCTTAAATTTGCACATAACAATCATTCCCAAACCTCAGACTGCCACTGCCCGAGTTTGAAATGCAAATATCTTCTGCAGCCCACCCAAGTCTTTACTCGTGACTGATGTTGAACTTGATTCTCCATCAACAGCTTTAGATTAAGATTCAGGTTAAGATCCAAGAGGATTAAGGATTACAATAGTTTACTTGTTAAATTATCCCATATGGAAAAGAAATAGTAAAAACTTATAAAAGACTTGTATAAGATGTGGCCTATTTCATATAGTGAATCATATAAGGCTTATATGATTGACTCATGAAAGTGTCCACTTTCTCATTACTTTCATATATTGTTTTAAGAAGTATCCAAAACATACAAGTTTCATTTATATAATATTTCAAGGAATCTTAAATCTGTTTTCACTCTTGTATGCTTTTCATACAAGTTTCACACAAGACAGATACAAACTTTATAAGATTTATATATATCTTTTCCATATGGGATATGTCCCTGTCTACTAAATCTTTTTACATTTTGTAATAAATGAGTATTTCAGTTAACTGATTTTGTTTTAAACGTATTTTTATCCTTCTGTATATTATTGTATACTACTATTCTTATTATATATATTGTATATCTTATTCCTCTGTCTCTCTTGCTACATTGAGCATGTGTATGACAAAAGAATTTCCCTCAGGATAAATACAGTTCTTCTTATCTTATCTTATCTTATTTTAAAACGTCTGCAATTTTTAGGGCCCACCTGCAGTATCTTCATGGCCCATGAGGTGGTGACTGCTCACACTTTGGTTAACACTGGTCTGAAAAATACAACAGAATGGGTGTCCTAGAAATGCTCTAGAAATTTGAAAAACAGTTTCTAATACACAATAATGTATTTTCTTTACCATATTTCCTATTTTCATAACATATTTGATAGCATATAGCTGGACTGTCTTTATTAAAATAAACTTTATTACTCTAGAAATAACAGAGACCATGTTTATTTCAGGAACAGTACTCAAGACCAAGTTGGATGTAGTGATGGTAAATGTGATTCTTTTTACTGAATTGAGTTTGAATGAGTCACTAACCAAAGTGAATCGGGATTTTTGGGTCATTTGAGTCACTGAGTCAGTTGACCAGAGAGTGCAAAAAAATGTACATTTTCACTCAAACTTAATTTGTTTCTCTTTTCATGTAAATCCTACTGCTAAGATGAGTGATTGAAAAAGAAAAACAACTATTTTTATAGAGAAAAAAAAAAGATTTCTAAAGGGAACATTTATTTTATTTATTTTTATTTTATTAGTATTTTCCCCAAATGTGTCAAATATGTTTTCTCATCTAAATGTCCACTGAGCTGTTCCTTAACATTGTTTGCCAACCAAGAAGAAGAAGAAGAAGAAGCTGCGAGCCAGGAGGGAGGGGTGAGGGAGGGGGTGAGTGAGTGAGTGAGTGATTGTTTATGCTACGATTCAGCCCACATTGCCCCATCGTCTGCAAAAAGTGAAAACCCCATTCCACCCTCTATGTGGAACACATCATTAATCAGCAGTGAAAACAATAGCAGTCTAACTATGCTTCCTTGTGGCGTTCCATTTTCTATTGGCAAACTCTCCGAATAACTCCTCCCAATCCTTACTATTATTCGTTGGCCTTCAAAAAAATCCTTAACCCCTCTGAACATTCAACCATTTATACCCATTTCCCTCATTTTTATCAATAGACCTTCCCTCCACATCATATCATACGCTTTCTCTATATCAAAAAAGACCGCCAGCACACTCTCCTTATTCACTTGTGCCTTCCTTATCTCATGTTCCACTCTGATACTGAGCCAAATATCCTTTCTTTTCTACATAGAACACTGTCAAAGGAGCTTGCAAAGAAAAGCGTCTGGACTTCTTTAAGTTGCTTGAAGACGTTTCACCTCTCATCCGAGAAGCTTCTTCAGTTCTAAGGTCAAATGGTGGAGAGTCCCAGATATAAACCTAGTGGGAGAAACCCCCCACAGAGGGACAAAAGGACCCCTGATGATCCTCTAATCGCCTGAGCCAAGGTGGGAAACTGGGCGTGGGTCCCAATCAGCCAGAGTTTCGGGTGAGTTCATTGTGAAACCTGGCCCCACCTTATCATGCAAATTCCTGAGGTCAGATGGCCCAGGATGTGAGTGGGCGTTAAGGCATCTGGGAAGGATCTCAAAACTGGATTATAGATGGCAGAGAGTTGGTGTCGTAAACCCCGCCTCTGTTCAAAGATGGTCGCTCACAGTGGACATAGATGGTTCACCCGAAAGACAAAACGCCAAGACACAAACTTAACAATGTGGTGTATGCTGTACAGTGCAGCGAGGAATGCCCAGACCTCTACATTGGAGAGACCAAACAGCCACTTCACAAGCGCATGGCACAACACAGAAGAGCCACCTCCACAGGACAAGACTCAGCAGTCCATCTGCATCTTAAGGATAAAGGACACTCTTTCGAGGATGCCAATGTTCACATTTTGGACAGAGAGGACAGATGGTTTGAAAGAGGAGTGAAAGAAGCATCTATGTCCACTGTGAGCGACCATCTTTGAACAGAGGCGGGGGTTTACGACACCAACTCTCTGCCATCTATAATCCAGTTTTGAGATCCCTTCCCAGACGCCTTAACGCCCACTCACATCCTGGGCCATCTGACCTCAGGAATTCGCATGATAAGGTGGGGCCAGGTTTCACAATGAACACACCCGAAACTCTGGCTGATTGGGACCCACGCCCAGTTTCCCACCTTGGCTCAGGCGATTAGAGGATCATCAGGGGTCCTTTTGTCCCTCTGTGGGGGGTTTCTCCCACTAGGTTTATATCTGGGACTCTCCACCATTTGACCTTAGAACTGAAGAAGCTTCTCGGATGAGAGGTGAAACGTCTTCAAGCAACTTAAAGAAGTCCAGACGCTTTTCTTTGCAAGCTCCTTTGACTACGATGACCTGGATGACTGAGAAGCTTCACAGACATACATAGAACACTAATCTTTCATTTATCATTCTCTCCATTATTTTGCAGACGTTGGGTGTTAATGCTATTGGTCTGTAGTTTCCTGGTTTCGTATCTTCTTTCCCTGGTTTACGTATTGGTATTATCACTGCCTCCTTCCAGCTTTGTGGCAACTTCCCCAGGGCTATTTCCGTCAACAACCTCCATTTTAGACCCACCTACAGACACATGACTGGACAGGCGCCAAATGCAGTAAATTTGGTCCCATGTGGGTTTTGGCCCTGCAACTTCTGATTGGTTGAAGTGAGTGAACATGGCATAATTTCTGTGACCCTATTGGCTCAAACAATCAAAAAGGAGTGTCAATCATGCTAATTGGCCAAAAGAAACCAAAGTTACAGCCCCTCAGATTTTAAAGGGCCAGAGGCCAATTAAACTCTCTATGCACATGGCAGAAAAGGCCCTTTGCCATGTAAATGTGTGGTTAATTCTTCAAAAATACATATTGAAAAAACAAGCATTTTTAGGCCTCGTAGTAAAATTAATTAATTTCTGCTCTTTAATACCTACAGAATTAAACTGACATAGTGTCCAATGTGTGCCAGAATTTGACATTTTTATACAACGTCTGGATATTCATGTATTGACAGTGCTGTAATTTTTCACTGCTTCACTTTAGAAACATAAATCTTTGCACAGATTATGTTTATATGTTGGTTACTGAATTTCTGGAATTAAATGTGATTTGAGGCATATTTTTAAAAGGGTTATATGCTAAA